AATTTTTCAATTTCAGTGAATACCTCCTCCATTTTCATGCTCCCCTGATACTTTTTTGAAAATTTCGAATTTTTCAATTTCAATGAATGCCAATTTCGTAACGCAGGAAATAACATTCACCCCGTCGACTGATTCTCTGACATACGGGGCTGCTATTGAGGCAGTTACCGAGTCAGCTGGCGGTAAGACACCCCAGCATTGCGTGTGGCGCCCTCTCTTCCTTAGGGTGAGGTACTACGACGGCTCTGGGGTCTCTCAAACCCCCAGAACTGAGCCTCTACTTCAGTCAATCCTCTCTGTTCGTAACTCTCGTGTCAAGTCATAAATAATCTATAAATCACACACAAAACGTCATGAAGACTCTGACAGTTGATCCATGGGGTCCAGCGGTGTCACAGAATGAAGTCCCGACTTCCTTCGAGGATTCCTTCGTCACAGCGCGGGCCGATCTGAGGTTAGACGACTCTGATCAATACCTCCAGAGACTCTGTAAGTCCTGATTAATCACCCATAAATTTATCAATATATCAATTCCAATGATGTGACCTTCCTAGACTCTAGACTGCGTCAGGTTCAGGGTGGCACCTCCAAGAAGGACCTGGTGAAGTCCTTGTCTCAGGTAAAAGAGGACACGATAGCTCGATTAATCACCAGTGGCAGGAGATTAGACCCTGAAGAGGAGGCGATCCTTGGGAGTAATCCCTTGTTAAGACATATAACACCACATCTTCAGGTTTACCCCAACATCAACGTACATTCCTCTCAAGCAATTCTTTCAATTGGAATTAATGGTCTTTGTATTGGAATTCCAGGCGATGACGGCCAGCGAATTAGTCCACCTCTTGAAGGCCGATGTTCTCCAATCGTCAACAGACGAACAGCAAGAGACAAATGTAATCATCACAGATTCCACCGACACCGCAATTCCCTCTCCCACTTCTTCCACCACTTCCTCTAATTAAATGTCCCAAATTTTTAATTCAAATTGTAATTAAGTGCAGCCCTTGGAGTGAAAGCTGTATTAACCAGAATCCTCTGTCTCGTGAATAACTTCATGAAATCCTGACGCAATATTCATACGGGAAAGCCGATTGAACAGATTTTCCCTTCCTGCGAGTTGCCAGAGACAATAGCGTCTCGTCAAATTTGCGGAGGAGTCGTTTCACGTATGAAACTGGGTTATCCCACCGAGTACATAGGTTTTACCCCATAACATCCACCCTGAGAATATTTCGAGGGGTTGATTCTTGACTGGGGCGTGGCTGGGACGTGCACTGAACACGTCTCAATTACGAATTCAGTTGAATGAGTTGAGTAAATGTTGTGAGAACCGAGTGGATAAAATAATGTAATCAAATAAAATGACATTAAGCCGAAGTAAATTTGTTTCGTATTCCCAGGAAATCATTCTCCAATTCTCCTCGTCTTCGATTTCAAAATTGCTGTACTATTTGCTACCGAAATCCGATCCTCAGATCCCGACAATAATTCGAATTTAACAGTTTAATCATTTAATTCAAGCACTCGGGAGTTGGTTGTCATAAACACCTGAAGGCACACAGAAGTGAGTCAATTAATCAAATGAACAATATTATTTTATAAAAATAACTTTCAATTATTTTTGGAAATTTTTTAATGCCGATGATGAATTTGTTTATTCTAAAAATTATTTCAAAAATCGACATCAATTTCTTCGGCTGAAAAGCAATTTTTTATTGACATCACGGTGATAATGAAATATACTAAAATAAAAAAACGAAATGTTCTTAAGGCAAGAATATTAATATTTTAATTTTACATCCGAACCAAGTATACTTTATACTTGAATTGGTTATACTTTGTACTTCATCCAAGTATTTTTACCCCACGCAGTTTTGGGCCATACAATTTTTACCAATAACCATCAATCAATCTCTACGCAAACAATCAACCCTCCTCCCTCCCACCCCCCGGGGGACAAAACCATTTCCCGATTTTTTTTTAAATCCCGCGTACCTTTTCATCCCTCCCCCTTGCCACCCCAAGTACATTTGAAATCGTTCCACGAAGAAATCGCCTCGACTCTTCATGTCCTCGCAGCAGCCGATACCAATCCCCTCGACATCGCAACCCGAAAAATTTCCTTCAATTCACCCTCAACCCCCCACAGCAACTCCCTCCCCCGAAGACAAACGTTTTCATCCCCCTCCAAAAAAAAAAAATACTTCGGCGAGACGAAAATCTAGGACGCACCCTCTGGCGCATGCGCTCGCAGAAGAGTTGCAGAGTTTTGTTGGTGGGGGAATGGGGGGTGGAAGAGGGGTTGAGGGGTAGTTGGCGGAGTCTCCGGTGAGTACAGGGAGGACACTGGGGTTGCGGCCTCAGGCAAGTGGAATCTAAAAGGGGGCGCGAGGGGTGGACATTTTTGGGCTCTCGTACGCCAGTCGCTGTCCGTATCTCGTCGAGGAAACATTACCCGCCTTTTTCTATTTACTGTGCGTGATTATCGTTTTTCAGTGAGTAATTCAAATAAATATGAAACAATCGGTGCAAGTGCAAGTGACAGACAGATAATCGTCAATTCATCACCTGTTAATCCCTCGATTGCCGAATTTGACAAGTCAATTTGTCAATTAATGAGAGAAAAAAAAATTGAGATGGAATTAAATTAATTTCAGTGTGAGTTATTGCGGTTGTTATGATTTAATTGTCAATTGATGATGGATTACCGTGGGCTTAAGTGTTTTACGTTGATAAATCGATGGATTAATTAATGAACAGTTGGTGGATGGAGTTGGTAACACCGAGAGTCAGTGAATTATCAAGTGATTAGAAAGATCGAGGATTAACTGTTCGACGGGTAATGTTAATTAGTTATGTATTAATTATCTGGTTATTGTTTTGTTTTTTTTTACGGTTTTTTGGCCGTTGGTTTTGTTCGGCTTTTTGGGCCAATGTTTCAACTTCTTGGCACTTCTTAGGGGGGATGTTGTGTATGAATGTGGAAGGGGGTTGGAGAACATTTCTCAACTACTTGAGGAACGCGGACGGAAGTCGAGTGAGAAAAGGGGTTGGGGGGTAGTAACCCCTTGGAGTTGTGCGGAGTTACTGGGGCTTTGGATGGGGAATCCGGGGTGTAACTTTCTCCGGGGCTCCTAAATTTGTACAGAATTAATTCCACCTGACGCCCAGTGCGATGAATGCTAGGGCATGACGGGGGTGGTTTTTTTTTATTACAACGTATATTTGGGTAGAAAGGGTTGAGATAAGGGATCGCGGGATTAAAAAAGTGGGACGATGTTTCGGGGGAGATGGGAGGGAGTGGTCCCATCCCCTTCATCCCCATCATTTCCATCATCCCCATCATTTCCATCATCCCCTCCGCCACTAAATGGAATAGGGAACGCAGTGTCACCTGAACGAGTCGATTGAAAGAATGTCAATTATTTCCCAACGTGAGCTGCACCTGTGGTGAAAGCTTTGGTCACGTGTTAGGGGATGAATTGATGAATTGAATTGCATCCCGAAGGGTTGAATTGATGAGAAAAAGTGGGGTAGAATTATTGGAAGCACCCGGGGGGGAAATAATTGCCCGAGAACTTGGCGATGTCGATAAATACTTGAGGGGGTTGTGAGGGGGTTGTGAGGGGGTGATGACAGGAGAGGCAAAAGGGGCGAGAGAGGCGGGAGAGATAGTAGGGGATGGAGTGAGGATTTCAATCCTTGCAAAACACTAGACGAATGTTGAAATCGAAGGGACTTGGGGATTGTGGGGATAATCCTGGTGTGGCTTCTTCAGCATCTCGTGTGCACTTTGAATAACGAGTCGAGAAAAAGATCTCAGTACTTATTTCACTTCAACCTCTTTGCAATAGTTTTAGAATTACAACCGAGCAATTTCTCCGCACCCGGTGAAAGAGAAAGAGAAAAAAAAAAACTGACAAGTGCGGGTAATACCGTAAGAACAACTACGGAGATGGATGAAAATATTCAGGAGTAATTTCTTCACAATATCCCTCCCTGTCATCACTCGGAATTACTCCCTTAAGACTCGGTCGAGACAGCACCTGCTCCGAGTGCTCTGCCAGTTAGTTATTAAAGTCTCTGTGTCTACTTGCAGAAACTCAGTTCTATATTCCACTCGCTTCTCTCTCCAGTTTATGGGATATTTTTTTTTTTCTTCACGGTTAGTGTGTTGAGAGCTCTATTACGGTTTTGATGGAGCAATCGTGTTATTTGTTCTTGAGAGTATCCCGGGGGACTGTCATTGCAATTAAATAGGGGGAATCATTCGGAAATCGTAACTTCCCCATTCATTTCGATTACTGAAAATGACAGATGACTAACAAAAATATTGGGGAGTTTTTCATTAAGACCCGGGTGGACTATCCATCGAATGTTATTTGTTTAAATTTTATCTTTTTAGCTTAAAATACATTAAAAATTGGGATTAAATCTGTGGTGCTGGAGCTACTCGAATGATTATTAAAAAATAATGAAAAAAAAAGAGGAAAAATTATTGAAGGGCGCTAAAGAGTGATATTGTTTAAAAGGGATCTACCAAGTTTACAAAAAATAATAAAAATTACGCAGCTTACCATTGCTCTCCAGAAGATTGAGTGACAGCTGGATGCAATAGTAAGCTACGTATTTTTTATTATTTTTTATCAAACTTGGTAAATCCCTTTTAAATAATATCGATCTTCAGCGCCTTCAATCATTTTTTTCATTATTTTTTCCTCTCCCGTTGTTTTTTAATCGTCACGCGATTTCTACTCCCGAGATAATTTCCCAATTACCCGCCCCCCTCTCGAAATCTCAGTTAATTACGAATAACAATTACGGGATTATGAGTTTTTGTTTGAGTGGTGGGGACAAGTCAAGTGTTTCATCAACCACTTTTATTCTCCGGAGATGGTGCATGAGTGGAAAAATGAAACGCAAAGTTTGAGAATTTAATTGTTTAATTGAATTACCGGCGAACTAGATACAGAAGAAATTCAAGTGGTTTGTAATTTACGCGACTCTGCGGTGTGAAACTTTGTACTTCGGACCTCCGGGGTGCATTGAAAACTTTTACCTCAAGCAAAAAGTCACATCGAGCTAAACACAAGAGATACCAGAAGCCCATGTATTTTACAGGTTTAATTTACTTTTTTTTTTATCATGCGGCCCGTGAGAATCCGTAATTTTTCAAAGAGCAATTCCAAGGCACTCGGAAGGATTCAGATAATTTGGGAGTAATCCTAGGAATTTCAAATGTTTTTACGAGAATGAATGAAGAATTTGTAATATCTCGGGAGTTATTGATCCAAGGGAACTGTCAGCTGGAGCGACTGTTCCAGTAGATTTTCAATTTTAAATGAGTACAATCACACTGAAGAGGTGAATCTCTCCAGTGACTAAAAAAAATGATGATTTCACTCTTTTTTTTTCCATTTGTTCTTTGTCAGACTCGGATTTATCAGTTTAGCGTGGAAATTTCTGGTTTGAATACTGATGTGAGTGAAACGTGTTCTAAATTTCTACATTTTTCGGTTACCCCGAGGATGAAAAAATTACACCTCATTTTTATCTGACAGTGATATGTAGAAGGTGAAGAGAAATATCAATTTTAGCTGTTGAATTTTCAAATAAAAACAATTGGCTTTTGTTACTCTTGCAATTAGTTATTGTGAGTGGTTGAGTGAGTATCTCTGGTGAAAAATAAAAAAAGCACTGGCAATCGACTATAGCCGGAAACTGAAAAAAAAAAACTGCGGTGTAAAGAAGAAATAAAAATGAATGAATGGCAGGGCTGAACAAAAGAGCAGTACAAAGTTGAAAGATTGTGAATTGAAAAAAAAAATATATTGTTTACAGAGTGGAGTGTAACACACTGTCGCAATTTTTTGTTCGTTTTTCCGAGGTATAGCTATTTGGATATTTGTTCGAGGATATACTGACAGGAGAATGAATATGCACTTGCATCAAGTGTCAAGTATACTTTACACAAGTACATCAATATGTCAATTTAAAGTACTTGATACTTGTTATGGTATTTTAATTACCTATCAAATATATTCGAAACTAAATAAAAGTATACTTTATGCAAGTATGCATGATGTGACTCGCTAAAGTATACTTCCAACTTCACGAAAGTATAATATACATAATTAGGGTGTATTCTTAATTAAGGATAAAATATACTTGGTTCAAGTCTATTCCACGGGGTCAATTTCAAGTATACTTTACATTCAATTGTGTATATATATCAATTATTTATAATGTACTTTCGTAAAGTTTAAAGTATACTTGGTTTAATTATGGTCGTGTGTTTGTATCAAGTATACTTGCCACTTGATTCAAGTACGACTTTCCGTCGTCGACTGATCAATGGCGAATATTATTTATTATTT